TGGCTCTTCACTTTTGAGCTCTTTTCTCATGCAAAACTTCACGAACCAAGATAGCAATTGCGTATGCTATGACAACTTTGTGACACACAAGTTGATCTCAAGATATGCACCACTATGGTATGATATGTATGCTATGTTGTATGATCACTAATGTGCACAAGTCATGTTGCCGGCAATACTCAATGGCTAGTCTCGATGGGTAAGCAACGCAAAAGTAAGGCTATGTGGTTATCAATGTAATTGCGAGAGAGGACAAAGATGTCGTCGAGGTTACCGTCCTTGACGATGATGAGTCTTTGGCGAAGATGAGCGGTGGTGATGTTGATGTCGAACCGTACCTATATAGCCGAAACACAATAGGACACGGGAACCACAACTCAAATTCTCAAAGACCAAAACAACAACGGTGGGAGCGAAAGGTCGAGGTGGATGGAAATGGTGAAACTCATAGTGCTGAAATTGGCCTGGGCGGTAGTACCGCTCGGATGGTCGATTGTACCGCTTGTGGTACTCAGCGGTGGTACCGCTCGGAGGGGCGGTTGTACCGCTTGTGTCGGGATTCGACACAGCACGAAACTGGGCGTGAATTTTGGGGCGGAATTGGATGGTTTCGGGGGCAAAATTTGGAGGGTTTCGTGGATGAGAAGAGGGGAAAGGCTAGATCCACTTGAAACCAAGCAAATCCACGGATCAAAATCAACAAAACATCATCAAACCAACAAATCACAAAAAAATTTGGGGCTATTTTTGGTGGGGATTTTCGAATTTAGGACGAAAACAACAAAATCAAGCTAGAAAACACGAGGTAGGGGCTCCAAAAACGTGATCAACGTGGCTCATGATACCAAGATGATGTAGGGCGGAACCCTAAGTGGTCGATCTTTCATGTTTGGAGGGATCCTACGGGGAATCACGAAGAACACGCGGAAGAACTAGAGGGAAAATACGGGGAGAACAAGAGAAACACTCAACCGACAAGTAACCAATCACACGAGTGCTAGATCACCGACAACATAGAGTAACATATGATCCACAATCAACAAAGGTAAGATACAAAGGAACCGTTCTTCTCCTTACGGAGGCCTTGATGGTCTTCCCTAGAAAGGGGTCTTGAATCCGCTTGGGGGATCTTCTCCGAAGAGGTCCTGAGCTCCGAGGAGAAGTATCCAAGTGGATGAGCAAGGCTTTCACACAAAATATGAGCTAAACCTATGTTAACCCTAATACGAAGCTAGGAGACGAGTATATATAGTGCTAAGTCATGAAGGGGTAAGTGCGCTGCGCGCAGGCAGGCCGGTAGTACCGGTCAGGGGGCCGGTAGTACCGCTGAGAGCTCCTGAGGGGCGGTAGTTCCGGTCGAGGAAGGCGGTACTACCGCTGGGGGTCGGGCGCTGGCTTCTGGAGGTGGGTGTCGAAGGAGCCAGCGGTTGTACCGGAGGTCGGGGCGGTTGTTTCGGTCTTTGGGCAGAAACCGGTAGAACCGGTGCTGTACCGGCCTTGCACCGCTTGCTCACAGAATAGCGGCCGGTTGTTGGGCGGTGGCTGGCCGGTTGTTCCGCCCGGGCGGTGGTTGGGTGGTTGTACCGGTCCTCCCAGGCTGGGTGGAATGCCTCCTTGATCTTGATGTCCATCTTGCACCACTCCTTCTCCTTGGCTGCTTTCATGGTACCTGAGCACATAAAGTGTCTCCGTTTGAGTTAGTAGCCATGTCTCAAATGGGTCAAAAGGAAATTCAACAAGGAGAGAGTTAACCTCGGATTGGATGGCACGTGCTCGGACTCTTGTCATGGGTCCTCTTGGAGCAAGTGTGGTCGAAGTAGAGTCCATGGGGATGATGGAAGGATGCTCCGCATCAGGTATAGTACAGAGTACATGTATCTACCACGAGATTGTTCTAGTGAATATGAGATGTCTCAATCCCTCTATTGACTAGTCTGGCCTCGATTTATATAATGCACTATAGGCTTAGGGTTTAGAAGAGTCTTCGTATTGGGCTCCAAGTCTTGCGGAATCTTCCTTGTATTCGTCACGGGTTGTCTGAAATGGCCCATTAGTAAACCGCCATGGGGGTCCTCGGCCCTGCCCTCTTGGTCGGAGACGACGCGGTGAGTATCCCCTAATTCGTGACTCCATCAGAAGGGGGGACGCAAAAGGTAGGAGGCTACGACTCAACGGAAAAGAGGAGATCGAGGCTGTGGGGGTGGAGGAGAGGCGTGTGAGCCACGTCTTGCTCGGTACCAGATTCGCTACTTCCTTTTTATTTCATAATTTGACACTTCTATTGCCACTTCAGCACTTCATGCAAGGACATAGCCCAATACTCAAAATAGAATTATGCTTACTAAACCTAGTTCACAGTGTCATAGAAACCAGATCACTCTAGACAAAACCAGGTTCAAAATGAACGGTTTGCTATCTTAGAAAACAATCAACAAAAGAAAGGGAAAATATCGAAGAAAAATAAATATGGCCAACTGTAAAAGGGTTGAAAGTGGGAATTTATCAAGGAAAAAGAAAAACGTTTCGGTGCGACACGTCGGCCGAAACTTCGGCCGGTCCTTCCCGCTACGTTGGATCGAGTGGCGATCGTAGCGCCCGTACTTAGCCAACTAATCACACGCTATCCAAACGAGTGGCTGGGGTGGACCCACACATCACAGACGCCCGCCTCTTCCTCCCTTATCCTCACTCAAATCCCCATTTTTTATCTCAGACGAAGCACATCTAGCACCAGTATCTCCCAGCACCACCACGTAGCGACTCACTGTCGCCTACTGCTTGCAGCTACGAGCTACGACGGCGCCATGCCCGCGGCCGTCGCGCTCCTCTGTCGAGGGCGCTCCGGCAAGCCGTGCTACAACCGGCTAGTATATATGCTACAACCGCCCACGGCCGTGCTACATAGCAACGACAGGAGCGAGACACGGCTGCCGGCGTGCCGTGCTACAACCGAACCACGAGAAAGCTGCAAGCCTGCAACCGTGGCCTGGAAGGGCTGGAACCGGCAAGCTATTGTGCTGCCACCGGCTGTGCCGTGCGCTCAAAACTGGCAAGCTCCGGTGGCACGACCATGGAGGACCGGTGTTGCTACAGGCTATGTCAGGTGCTGGAACCAGCACGACATCGAGCTGCAACCTGCCGACGGCGCTGCTACGAGTGGTGGGGCACACAACTATGAGCGAAAAGGCGTGATGCTACCAACGGCGATCTGGGATGCTGGAATCGGCAGCGTGGAGAGTTGCAACCGGCGGCGCCATATGCTACAAGCACGCGATGCGGGGATGCTAGAATCGTCTATGTGGAGAGCTGCAACCGCCGCACCGTTTTGCTACTACCGGCAACCCAGAGTGCTGGAACAGATGAGGAAGGATGCTTCCACAGCGAGCCAGGAAGCTGCAACCGGAGATGAAGTATGTATCCACGGCGAGGCCAGAGAGGTGCAACCAGCAGGGGGGCGGTGATACAACCGGCAGCCGGCGAGTTGCAGCCGCATCCAGCGACGACCGGCCCGGCGAGCTGCAGCCTTCGAGAGTGGAGCTCCAACCAATGTTTGGAGGCTAAGGCTGGGTGCGTGGGGAGGGAGGGAGGGGGTGAGCTGCTGAGCGCTGGCAAGGCGGGCGCTGCCGTGTCCTCGCGGGGGGCGACGAACTGACGATGGAGGCGACTTAGTGCGGTGGATATCGCGTACGGGATGAGGATAGAATTTGGACGGCTAATAATGCGTCAATCGGACGTGCGTGGTGCGATCGGCCGAAACTTCGGCCGGCGCACCGGCGCCTATCATTGGCCAAGGAAAAATATATTAAATGCCGCCAGTTTTTTAGCTGAGAAGGTGAAGGAGCTACTCGTGGAAAAAGAGAAACTTGCTAGTTCCTTTTGGACATGGGTAATCTGATAAGGGATAGTTGTTGGACGGTTAGTGCCGGAATGCAAAGCAGTGCATCATGGCGTGAGACGAAGAATGCCGCTAGGGCGGCAAGGCATCGTGTGTAGGAAAGGGCTGGCCTACCCCTCCTTTTGGCCGGTTGTTTGCTTCTGTGGGGATCTGGGAACGTTTGTGCTGTAGTATACCGGGCGGGAGCTTTCTGTTTGTGTGGCGCACCGCAGGCCGAGGCGGCCGTTTTTGGATGGATCTATCTAGGAATCCCGGAGGAGAAGAGGGAAACGCGGGTGGCGTGGGCGGCTAGGCCCCTGGGCACGCCGGCGTCGCGCGTGGCGTACATGCACATCGGTCGACCTCAATCAACGGAAAAGAAAGTTGTTGAGTGGATTCAGCACTTGATCGGGGCTGTGTCGCGGTCGCATTGGCGTCGCTTCCACTGGCACGCAGCGTTGCACCTGCACCGCGTTTGCTGCCGTCATCGTGTTTCGGGGGACGTGTAAAATGCCTGCCGATTAGGCACACCCGCACGCATAAGCAACGAAGATGCGCTTTATGGCTAATCCATCCATCCATCCATCCATCGCCACACCCACACCGATCTTGCTCCAAAACAGCACTGACTGACTACCCTCAAAAAAAAAAAAAACAGCACTGACTGGAACTGTGGGCTCACTAGGTGGTGGCATGGGCATGGGCCGACGAGGCCACCACCTGGCACGCCCCGTGCATCGCCACCACAAACACGCACGGGCACACGGCACACACTACTCCCGCTACCTTCCCCTATAAATGCGGCACCAGATAGGGAC